GCTGGCATTGCTTATCTTCCTCAATCACTATCCACTTTATTAACTTTAGTAGTGGCAAGGTCTCTGCTGACCCAAGAACTTGCAGATTCGGCTAGTCCAGCTAGTCAGCTTGCCCCACAGACTCTATCTCTGCCTCTGGAGGGAGCACGGGGACTAGGGGGCCTGCCACGCCTGCCTGGCACTTACGCCAGCTCTGGGGATCGTCACATTTGCACTGTGAGCACGGAATGTACTGCCTTGTCCTTCTCAGGCCTACCCCCCCCCATTCTATTTTCGCTCCCAGATAATGTTCTAGTATACAGACAGTTCGCATTTTGCTTATCTGCTCATCAACGGCTGCGTACTTTGGTTGTTTCCATATTTGGGCTATTATCAATATTGCTGCAATGAACATTTGTGAGCAAATGTTTATGCAGACATTTGCCATCGCTTCTCTTGGGCAAACGCTGAGCTGTGGAACTGCTGACTTAGGACGTGAGGAAAGTTTACATTTCCGAGGGAAGTGGTTTCTGGAAGACGATTGTTGGAAACATTTTAGATGTGGACATAAGATAAAGTAAGAGAGCAAACGATACATGGCAAATGAACTGTGAGTTACAAATACGTGTATGCCTTTAAATGGAAAGGGAAATCGGAATTTTCCAAGATGCACTACCTACCAACAGTCCCCAGAAGCAGTGTAGTACTGCTGAATTCTTTTCTTGGGGCTACTTGCTTCAGCCTGAAAGAGGAACCATTATGCAGAGAGAAGCTGTAAACAAATATGTCAGAGTGGAGCAGGAACAAAAAATGTCCTCTGGCTCATCAGGTAGAAACACAGCGAGCGGCCTGGCACCAGACCACGCGGATCTGCCGCTTTCATCTTGATGCTACAGATGGTACAAGAATGGTAACTATTCTGCCATTTCACTGTGCGATCTGCCCGATACGACACAGACTGTTTCTCTTTGGGCTCATTCTCCAGGATATGTACTTGCATAAAAACTGATGATTATAGACGACAGATGCTCAGAGAAAGGCCTTCATCTGCCAGACAGAAAACCCTCCCAAGGTGAAACGCAGAGGTCATTTCAGAACGTGGGGCTTCCCTCTACAGACCTGCTAGATGAGCTGGGAAGACGCAGCCGCCGACTGCCTAGCCGCTTCTGGCCAGGTATACTGCGTGCATATGGCACTGTTCGAACTGAGGCAAAGGGGCTGGTGACATACAGCAAGCCCATCTGTCTCCTGTCTTAGCCATTTACCTACACTTCCTTCTGCCAATCCGAACAAACTGCGCCCCATCAAATCTTTCAAATATCACCGGCACTCTGCAACTTTCCCTCCCTGCCCTCCACCCCATGTGCTCCTCAGGCATGGAGACAGATCTCAGTTCCCGGTGTTACAGCCGCACTTCCAGCACCTTCTCTGCAGTGGATGAATCTCTTTCATTACATTGAGTTATTTCGTGTAGGGAGAGGCTCCTGTCACACAGGCATGGGAAGGTGAGAACTGAACCTGGGTCCTCTGGAAGAGCAATCAGTGCTCTTCACTGATGTGGGATGTCTCTCTGTAGGTGGTGATTATGTTTTATTACCATTGGTTAATATAGAAGCTGATTTGGCCAATAGTCAGGTAGAATATGCCTGGTGGGAAATCCAATCAGATACAAGGAGAAAAAGGGTGGAGTGGAAGAGACTCCAGCAGCTGCAGGAGTAAGGTGTGAGGTAATAATCTATGAGACTTTTGATAAAATACGTGTTAATAGAAAATAGATACATAATAGAGTAATAGAAATGGGTTCATTTAAGGTGTAAGAGCTAGTTAATAATAAGTCTAAGCTAATAGGCCAAACACTTTGGAATTAATATTAAGCCTCAGAGTGGTTACTCTAAAAGGGCCTTGGGACTGAGAAAAAGCCTCCATTTACACTTCACCACTGAGCCATCTCTCCAAGCCCAGGTTGGATTTTTGTTCATATTCATAAATCCATTCTTGTCACTATTACTTCAGAAATGTCACACTGCCCTTCATTCATTCTGTCAGTTCTGGCCTCTCACTTTCTCCCAAAGAGCTCACCAGATTCTTGACTTCTGTTACTTGTTTTGCAAGACTAAACATATCAAAAGATAGTTAAAGTTACTCTGTGTTAATCATAAGCTTCAAAAGGCAGGAATAAATACACACACGTAGACACACACAAAAGATACAGATAAAAGTGTCATAGATGTTTCTTGTGATCTTGCCATGTGTGTGAACAGTCAATCATACAGCTACATGAATGGTGATCAGCTAAGTCATGAACTCTTAGGGCTAAAGCAACCCATCTTTTCCAGTAACAGTATACTACACAGACGTATAGACACACACGATCATTGATAACCACCGAAAACAGTGTCCTTTAGAAGGCCTAGCTCTGTCTTTACTGTATTTCTGGAGCTATAGTTCTGAAACAGAATCACTAAAATATTATTTCTTAAAGCTCCATATATATACTATCACATTTGACTAGGTAAGTGCTACAGTACCAGGTCACTCCCCAGGGCATACCGTGAGAAAATCATTTCAGCACTGGTTACATCACAGTCAAGCCCACTGCTGCAGGCAGCCAGGGTAAGTGAGCTACTTCAGTACCGTTAAATCAAGTTAGAGGGAACAGCACTGGCAGCATTCAAAGCAGGGTATCAGTCACTACACACCAGTGTCTCTATTGCCTGTCCCGATCTCCCTTGCCAGTCTATACCAAAAGCTGGTCATCAGTCTTGGGCTTTCAGCTCCTCCTTCTTCCCTTTCCTGCTCAGAACATCATGTTCTCAGCACAGCTCCAGGGAGTCACTATCAATAACTAGAACTTACCATCATCCATTTACAGGGAAATAAAACATAAATATGTATAAATTGCTTTTAATGCACAGCCTGCCTCCCTCGATCCAGCCATTTATCACGGAGGCACACAGTGAGGTCCTCTCAACCTCCAAAGTGCACAGGTGTGAATTATCATAGATAAAATCTCTGATCGTTTCTCTTGGAACTGTCAGCTAATTACAGATGATAATGATGATAATGCCGTGTTGGAAGATGACCAATCCAACAGAAGCCTACTAGAAGAGGATCAAGAGTGCCCTTATTCCTAAGAGGAACACTGCGGACTCTACAAGGATCCAAGGCATCAATGGACAGTAATCTAGAAATCTAGAAACAGAAAAGTGGCTTTATCCCAGCAGAGTCTAACGCAAAATTCGTTTGAGAACTGGGTCAAAAAAGATGTCAAGTCCATCTGCAAATCGATTGTTTTCGCCATTTCAGGACGCAGGTGCTTTTCATTTGAACCTCTACCTGTGTTAGTAAACGGAAGATTGGGGAGGTGGGGAGCAACACTGTCAGGTCACAAATCCCTTGGACTGGCCTGTGGAACTCTTTCCCTTCTAGTGGAAACTGGTTTTCAGCAGCCTCCAAAGCTGCTTCTTGAGGAGGAACAGATTCATGCATCTGAATTATGACTTGAAGCATTTTCAGATACCAAGCACCAGTTCACGTCAGCTTTCTCACTTGAGTGGGGGAAGGTCGGCCATACAACCAATGGCGCTCTGTCCTCTCAACCAATATTTATAGGTTCTTACCACGTGCCCAGCACGGTGGGAAGGAGGGCAGACATAGCTTATCTTACCCTCAGTTAGTCATAGCAATGGAAGTTGCCAGAACTTTCCTCCCTTGACATTATACAACAGTTCCAACTGAGAGCATTTTTAATTCTTGGAGAGAAAAAAAATAAGATAGGCACACATACGGGACAGAATAGGAGAAGTGTTTCCTGAACCACAGAGTGGTGGGCCAGAATCAAACTCCGGACTCACCTGAGCAACACTGTACTCTCTCCATGTTTTGCAGGGATGCTATTTTCAGCTTTAGTCCAGGCTACAAGAGTATTTCACATATAGAGGTAATGGAGCTTGCGGTGTAGGCTCAGTACATGCTTAGAATATATAAAGCCATAGGCTCAATCCTCAGAGTGAAATGATTAAAAAAGAAGACACCACACTTGATCTTAGCCAAAAGGCTGAGTTGTTCAATTTCAGAAAGGCTTCCATACACCACAAAAAGGAACCTTCAAGTATTGATTTTATCCCAGAATCTGGATTATGATTTTAGTGGATTCACCCTAGAAGAGGTCTTATGGTATTTTCTAGTAGGTCCTGGTTCCAGCTAGAATTTTCTTTTTGTTTTTTGAGACTCACTATACAGTCAAGACCGGCATCAAATTCACAGCCCTCGTGGCCTAGCCTCCCCAGGGCTGGGACAGCTTCCATACCTGCCAGAACTTTTATTTTCAAGAAAATAAAACTACCAATGCAAAAAATTTGAACTAAGCCGGGTATGGTGACATATGCCTTACTCCAAGCACTTGGAGGCAGAGTCAAAGGCAGCCAGATCTCTGTGCGTTAAGAGGCCAACTTAGTATACACAGTGAGCAGGTTCTTGGCTAGTCAGGGCTAGTGAGTGAAACCCCATGGCAACAAAACAAAACAAAAATCCAAAGAAAAAATGCAGACAAAAATAGCTGTATTTCATTATTGTCATATTTACAATAGCTTTTAAAAAAAAGAAAGAAAGAAAAGAAAAAGTCCAAGTGTCCATGGATGAATAGATAATCCATCTATTTGGGAAGTGTGGTATACAAGACTTTTTATTCAGTCTCAAAAAGGAAGTTAAACTATGTAAAACAAAGACTCATACAAAAAGAACAACTATTGCATGATCTCCCTTAACATGAGGTATTTAGTTAAACTCAAAGAAACAGGCTGTAGACTCAGATTGCCCAGGGCTGGGAGCAGGTAGAAAAGGCTAGTTTGTTGTTGTTTTTTAATGGGTATAAAATTTCAGTTTTATAAGATGAAAAAGTTTTGGAGATTAGTTATATACCAATATAAACATATTTAAGACTTCAGAGAGGCAAATGATATATTTTACTGTATGTATTTTTTCATGTATTTTTTTTTAAAGCAACAGAATCTGTTACTTACCTCATTGTGTAACTAATTTTTTACAGTGGCATCCCTTATGGCTTCAGTGCTCGACAGGAACAGGCTTTCTTGGTGCTATTAAAAGATATCAAAGAATTTTCTGTGATGCTTGGAGTGACTTTTAAATTAAAAATTGCTATTCTATGTTCTAAAAATTACATTTGGGGGACAAGGAAGATAGTGTTTTCCTGCTGGTTGATGCTAACAGCTGTGGCTCTTCTGTATTTAGACCTCTTTGGCGGGTCCAGAAACAGAAGACACAGGGATCATCCCAACTCCTGAACACCGACAGACACACTCGGAACCCAAGCAAACACACCATGAAGTGAATCCAAGGGCCATGTGTATCATCTGCATCACTATTCAACTCCTAGACTTCCATGTGCCATTACTCCTAGCTACTGCTGTAATGCCTTTTGTTCGGCAGCAGTTCACAGGACATTAATTTGCAGTATCTCATAAACCATGGGTCTGAAACAGGGTTGCAGATAAATGCCAGCCCGGATTACTGAGGTTGACAGATGGCATCCTTCTCACGCTTGCTGTCTGCCATTGGGAAGGACCTGGAACAAGAGGAGTTTCCGTCCTTTAATCCTCTCTGCTTCCATTTTTCAATTTTCAACCACATGTCTGAACAGCTGGGTTTCTAGCCCCCGCCCCCCCCCCCCATATAGCATGCACAATTAATCAAAAGCACCTAATTGACGATGTAAACCAATATTTAAAGGTTCACAGTAGGAACACGTTGATTAATGTAAGAACATTTATTACTGTGTCTATTTTATGGTCTTCCCTAGTCATTTGAACTTGTAATGCGTGAAGGGATTACGAATTATGACTGGGGATTTCCCAAGTACCTCATCTGATTGGAGGCTTGCTAAATACTGACCACCAAAATAGAGCTGAGAAATCAAAAACATTTTCCTCCCAATTCATCTTTTTTCTTTTTTTATGCTAAAAATGATTGCAGAGGTAAAAGGAACGGGTTAGCATACAGAGAAAGGCTCCCTGAGTGACAGCTGTCTCTCTTCACTCCTCCCAACTCATTTCCCGTGTATAACTTACACACCACGCAACCCTAAGACACGGGACTCTTTACATCAGCTTGTCCTCTCCAGAAAACTGTTTCAGGCAACGAACTTTGCCTTTATAGCCCCAGTCGCCACCACAGAGTGTGACACAGACTAGATACTCACCAAATGGATGACTGAGAGAGAGTCAGATTCTGACACAATATACACAGGGAAACATGGACAGGACAGATATTGTTGTTGTTATTATTATTATTATTTGGTTTCTCGAGACAGGGTTTCTCTGTAGCTTTGGTACCTGTCCCGGAACTAGCTCTTGTAGACCAGGCTGGCCTCGAACTCCCAGAGATCTGCCAGTCTCTGCCTCCCGAGTGCTGGGATTAAAGGCGTGCGCCACCACCACCCGGCTGACAGATATTATTTTTTGAGATAAAAAAAAAAATAGAAAGAAAGAAAAAGCAAGCAAGCAAGCATAGTGGAAACAATTTCTACCCCTAGAACTTTTCCTGATTTAAACAATGTCCCTCTCTGAGCTTTATATTGCAAACAAAAATTCCTTTAATGCTGAATTGGCCACTGGCCATTATGCTATCCAGGGCTTAAGGATTTGAAATAGCACTGCTACTTTTAGAAAGGAAAAGATCCCCAAGAGAGCATCTATCTTAAATCTTGAAGGGAGGGAGATAAATCTAGGAGTCTCTAGAAACTGATAGAGCTGAAATTAATTTTCTTTCATGTATTTCAAAACTATTCAGTAATGGGTAATGTGGGTTTCTCCCTAAGCCAGCTAGGCAATTGCAGATCTACAGTAGTACAAGACGGAATACAAAATTTATTTCCAAATGCAGAATAAAAAACTCATAGGCTCAACTTGCAGCTGACCTTGAGGTGAAGGCTGGAAATCACTTGCTGAAATTTGATTATTTCTATGTATCCCCATCAACATACTGAAATAAAGCAGCCTTGGAAGGAAAAAAAATAGGTTGCAATGGAAATATTTAGTCTTAAACTACTTACTTACTCTGCATCCAGTTAGGGCTTCCCCAGCAATGCAGTAAAGCAAGATTCAAAGACTACTCTAAACACAAAAGTATGTTTTTAAAAAGTAAATGCTATTAATTGAAAATATTCACTTAAAATTAAAAAGTCAAATATAACCCAAGAAAAGCAAAGACAAAAATGCTCTTCCCAGAACTTAATATGTAGAATTAAGCCGGTTTTTTTTTTTTACCAGATTTTAAGGGTTTACATTTTTAAAAAAATTACAAGATACATTTTCAAAAATCAAATTACAGAATAAATTCCTCCTACACATAAAGTTCCAAGAACGAAGGCAAAACAGTCATAGATTCCAAATGGAAAAATAAAATCAACGAAAGAGGATTTTACAGTCGCCTCACCTCCAGTGCAGAGGATTGCAGTGGGGCCAGCAGGATTATTTCCAGCTTGGTTAGCACAAAACGGAAGGGGAGTCTCCTTTGCTTGTCTCTTTCCCAACCCCTCTCCTAAACCAGGCTTCCAACCAGTCCAATTGATAACCCAGGAAACGCACCGCCTGCAAAGTGAGGGCCCAGAGCAGGGGACAGTCCCCGAGTGGCCATCCCTCCCTCCCTCCCTTTGGGTGACGCTCCACTTCCTGTTAGGCAAATAGACATTCCCAAGAAGCTCGGTTCTGTAGTTTCCAAGCCACCTCCCAAAGCCAAACCCTCTTTCTCGGTTTCCATTCCTAGGGAACAACTTTTAATTTTCACGTGGCTAGCTAACCTTGTCTAAACAATCCCCCAGAAAGATTCTGGAGTGTGTCCTTACCCAGCCCAGGCCCGGAAGGCTCATCCACAGCGTCCCTCATCCAGCCGGCTTGTGACTGCACCTCCTGAAATGGATCTTAGTGACAGCTACTGTCCCGGGGTGACCGGGATGCTACTGGGACGAGTTAGCGCTTGTCATCAGGGCTGCAACCAACTGAGGTTGCCCGGGAGGGACAAACAACATGAAGCCACAGCCTCCACGTACCTAATCCTAAAAGACTTCTTTACAATACCTTTAAGTGTTTCTTTTGCAAGGCACCCAACGATCGCGTCCCGCGTGGCGGTTTCCGCGGGTGGAGTGCACTCCCTCAGCGTTGACCTCGCGAAGCCATCGTCGCGCATCCTGCGTAGTGGCGGCGCAGCGCGTGGCTGCCTGGGTCCCTCAGCGGTGCTGCCTCAAGCACAGCGGGGATTTGAGGTCCTCAGGGGGTTAACGCAGAAGGGGCAGGCGCGGGCTGCACTGCATCCGGGAACGCTGGTGGTGGGCGATCCGGGTGGGTGACAGCAGGCCCTGAACCCAGCCAGCCACGTCTGCAGAACCGCAGCTGAGGACTTCCTTCGTGAGATCAGGAGAGAGGACCCCCGGTTCAGCTGGAGGTTCCCCGGGAGCCTTGCAGCCCGGGCTTTCTGCAGCCCTCCAGAGCCCCGCCTCCTCCCTCCGTAAGCCCCGCCCCTGCCCGAGCCCCCACCCCGCCTCCCGCTTTCCCGTCCCAGGACGCGTTGCGCGGCCCGGGCCGGAAGTCCTCGAGTTCCCGGGTGTGTGTCTGTGTCTGTGTCTCGGGGCGGTACGCCGCCGCGATCAAGCACCTAGAGGGTCCGCGTCTGAAGCTGTCACTGCCGCCACCATACCGGATCACTTCTGTAGAGGGACGGAGGCCCGGCCCTTCGCCGGGTGGAGAAGATGTTACCCCTGTCCATCAAGGATGATGACTACAAACCACCCAAATTCAATCTGTTTGGCAAGATCTCAGGCTGGTTTAGGTGCGGGGTGCCGTGTCTGCTGGGAGGGGGCTGTCCGGCTGGAGGAGATAAAGCCAGGGGCTGAGGATGGGTGTAAGGTCCAGGGTGGGAGCGTCACCCTCCTGCTGTGGTGGAAGGAGCATGTGGACAGGGTGGGTCTTGAGAGGGGGACTCGACTTCAGGGTCCCGGCACCCCCTTGGCTCCTGCCTGCTTCTAATCACCTGTATCGTGCTCAGGGCCATCCTGTCGGACAAGACATCCCGGAACCTGTTTTTCTTCCTGTGCCTGAACCTCTCTTTCGCTTTTGTGGAACTACTCTACGGCATCTGGAGCAACTGGTAACCAAAGGGGAAGATGATTGGGGCGGAAAGAGAGGGTTAGGGAAACTAGCCACTATTTGCTTAGTGCCACGTAGCTCTGTACCGGTAGGTTCAGGTCTTACCTTGGCCGCTATCATTGCTGTCTCATATCAACTCGTAAGGGATGCTTTTCTAAGATCAGGGCCCATAAGGTACAGTCTCTTACTTGATTTCCTGCAACTCCATCAGACAGGACTGACAGGCCCCCCGCCTCTTTTTTTTTTTTTTTTTTTTTTTAAGATAAAATAAATCTCTTTTCTAACTTGCCTTAGCTTTGCCTCAGGAAAACTGGGAGGATCTTGTTAGCTAACCTCCCAGTGGGTGTGGCTTTTATGTTTTTGGATCTTACCCTTCAGATTCTGAGAGGGTAGATCTGAGCGACCCTGTTTAATTAATGATTGTCTTTGAATGGCTTTTGAAGAGGTTTGTGAAGAGACCTTTGGCAAAGCATATGCCATTCTCTTTTACGGTGAAACTGTCTCATTATTTTTCTTCGTATCTTTACCGCAGTGGAAAATCCGATACGGTTTTCTGAAAGTGCCTCTGGATTTGACTGTTTTTGGTGTCACCTTTGGGTTTGTTGTTTGTTTGTTTCTGTCTTCTGCTGTCCTGATTCGGGTAGAGGAGCGTCCAGTGTGAGTGAGGAAGTAAAGTCTCTAGTATTTAAGTGTTAGGTGTGGGATAACTTCTGGGCTTGTCAGCATACTTCTCAAGGGTGCTAACTCCACCTGTAGACTTTATTCCCTTTTAAGAATCCGCTAAGAGAGGGGCTCTCCCGGAGAATCATAGTTTAGTTTTCAACGGCATGTCTGGAGGCTCACAAGTGCCTGTAACTCCAACTTCAAGGAACCTTACTCCTTCTGTGCCCCACAGGCACCCACACACATGTGGCAGACACACACACAGACAAAAATTTTTAAAAAATGTTAAAGAATCTAATAAAGAATGAGAGGTATAAATCTCCCAGAATCTTCGAAGGCAAGTTATATGGGCTCTTCTATTATCCTGTGCCATTTATGTTTTTTTTTTGTTGTTACTTCTATTAAACTAACTTGATCTCTGCCTTTTAAAATACATTTTCAGAGAGAAAAAGATGGTAGTCTTTGGTCTCTCGCTCTGCTGAGTTTGAACAAACTTAATTCAATCACCAGGTGTTGTGACATCTCTGGTGCCTACCTTTGATCATTTGTTGGGATTTTGGTATGGCTTAGTGGTATAGTTCTTGCCTGCCATTTACTAGGCCCAGTACTACCAAACGCGCACACACACACACACACACACACTCAGGAGGATGTCTGTGAGTTTGAGGTCACCCTTGGCTACATAGTTCCTGGGCAGCCAGAACTAAGAGACCCTGCCTCAGAAAACAAAAAGCACAAACAAACAAAGAAACAAACAAAACACAACAAAAATCCCCCCCCCCAATAAAACAAAACCTTCCATAAGTAGTAGATTATAAAGATTATTGGTTTTATTATTACTTGGGGCACAGAAGTCAAAGTAACACTATTTAACCTTTATGTATTTAAGAATTGTTTTGATTCTCCTGAGAATTGTATGTATATTGAAGCATATCCCATAATAGATATTTTTAATCTCATAAAGTTTATGCCCTTCAATAGGTCACATTTGCTGAAAGCACTATTGATTTAATGTGTATTTGAATATAATATTTTTATCATTACTATATATGATTTATAATGTACTTGACATTTTTCTCTTTCTGAATTGGGTCATAATTTTGGCATTGGTGCTGTTTATTTGATGACTACACTGTAGCTTGTATCATACATTTTACTAGCTATTCTATAGAACAACATACTATATTTCATTATGACCTTTCATTGGTTCTTAGAAGTTGAGAGGAAAATGTAGGACTAAATGATCTCCATGGTTTTTGTTTACTTTGTGACATTATCTTTTCTATCTTTTTAAAATTAGATTTCTTTTTTCTCACATAATATATCCCTCTACTCTTCTCATTTCCCCTACCTCCCCTCTTATCCAGATCCACTCCCTTTATGTCTCTCATTAGAAAACAAACAGGTTTCAAAGGGATAATAATGAAATAAAATACAAGATAAAACAAAACCTAACACTTTGGAATTGGACAAAACAAACAGAGACCACTCATTTATGCACTCGGGAATTGCATAAAAACACTAAACTGGAAGCCTTAATATATATGCAGAGGATCTGTTGCAGACTTGTACAGGCTTTGTTAGTTTTCATTCATTTATTGTTAAGTAACTACATAATCTCAACAGAAGAATGTAGTTTTGCAAGGTTAATTTTTTTTTTTTCCAAGCTGTAGCAAAAAGCAAAGGCAATAATTGTTTAAGCAGACAGTACCTTCTTCCCAGGGCGGTTGGCAGAGCTGCACCTCTCCCTTGCATCAGAATGCCCGGAGCTTAGAGAGATCGAGACAGAAAATGTACATGGTCTTTTAAGATTTGTCTGGATGCTAACACATTATGCTTCCCTCATACTTTTATCACATGCTCATGCCTGAAAGCCATGTGGTTTAGTCCACGAAACCATGTGGATTGATACAAGTCAAGGCTCTTTATCAGAGGAAGGGAGGGCATATGTACTGGAGAAAATCCACCCACTTAACATTGATGTGGGATTCCCCTCTGTATATGCAGTGAATATGTTTGATTACCATTGGTTAATAAAGACGCTGCTTTGGACTATGATAGGGCAGAATATAGGTAGGCAGGAAAACTAAACTGAAGGCAGGGAGAATAAAATAGAGTCAGGCAGATGCCATGTAGCTGCCGAAGGAGAAAGATGTCAGAACCTTACCAGTAAACCACAGCCTCGTGGTGAAACAGAGATTACTAGAAATGGGTTAATCGTAGATATAATAG